ATGTAATTGTGACTTGCCGGGGGAATAGGAACCGGACTGACGCTCCCCACAATGGATATGGAGCAGGGAAAAAAAAAAAAAAAAAAAAAAAAGTACAAGGTGTTGGACAATCAACAACTGAATTACAAAATTTGATTGGTATGCAGTTGTCAGAGGTGTTGAACTCCATTCTTGAGATCGGGGATGCAGTGGGCACACAAGTTGCCGCGAGGTCCCTTGTGGATAGGTTGCGGAGCAGGATGCGGGCTATTGCAAGGATGGTTGCCGGTGAGAAGCGTGTCCGTGTTCTTTCATTGGAGGGATTATACCCTCTTGTGGTTGGGGGACACTGGCTACCAGAAATGAAAACGTTGGCCGGGGGTATTGATGGTCTGCAGGTGGGTTGAAGTCTTTCCTTTTTGCCAATTTTTGTTCTTTCCTTTTTCTTTCAAATAATTTGGAATCATCCTCTCTCGATTATCTGTGTCACCCTTGCGAAGGGGCTATGCTAATCTTCTCTGTATCTTTCCAACGGATGTCCCAAAGGACAATTTTCACTTTTTGTAAGGTTTTTTTTTTGTTTTTTGTTTTTTTAATAGAAGAACACACAAGCCCCTTCTATTCTGGGGGGTGCCAGTCCAATTACTTATCCCTGACAAGCATGTTTGTACAAAGACCATGGGGGAGAAAAGATAAGAGAAGGGGGTCAGCCTAACCCTTGTGGCATTAGCCAAGGGGGTGCTGCTTCTCAAAAAAGAAAAAAAGTGATCCATGGGACTTCAAATCTCACGTGAACACACACTGCTCAACTCAGTGATAACAAGCACATTGAGACAGTCTAGAAAGATAAGACTATGTGAAGAGGAAGATCAAAAGCACAGAGTTATCTTGAATACTGTTATGATCCTGGCTATCTTGAAGTGCAATAACTCAAAGAAAGGCGATGCCGTTCAATTCTAACTGAGATGAAAGAAATTGGAAAGATGAACAGACAAAGGAAGACAAAGAAGATGTACACCAGTGAAGACCAATGTCAAATCCCCCTTCGTCTCGCCACCATCGTTGACCTCCTTTTCCTCCCCCAACTTCTTCTCTATCTCTATCTCTATACTATTAAAAACTGCAAAGGGCCCAACGTGACGCTTCCCAGCAGGCCCAGGGAAATTCGGTGCCGCGCATCCCGTTGGGCCTAGGGAAATTCGCTGGCGCCTGCCAGCCCCGCGCGCCGTTTCCTGTGCACGAGTGGGGGTGCTGGGAAGCCCAGCATCTGCGCAGGGTGCTGGGAGCGAAGTGCAGCAAGCGCAGCGGTAGTGTGGGGTCGAGGGGACGTTCCACGAACGGGAAGAGAGAGAGAGAGAGAGAGAGAGAGAGAGAGAGAGAGAGAGAGAGAGAGAGAGAGAGAGAGAGAGATTTCCATTGATAGGATGAGAAACGCACCGGCCACCAGGTAAGTCTCCAACCCCGCGACTGGCCTCACGCTACGTCCATCGATAGGATGAGCTTCAAATGAATCTTCCGCTAGAAATCCTATATCCGAATGAGGAAGAAGGCCAGATGCCGCCAAGAATTACAGCACACCAGAAAGCTTGATATAACATGATTGAAGACTATGGAATTCTGAAGCACCTGATACTACGTAGTACGCACGCTTGTCCTGGATCTTTAAAGACAGCCATCTGTCTCCCAGACGCGTACATAGCACTAGAAGATAACCTTGGAAATCAATTGAAGAAATCTCTCCCCCCCCCCTCCCCTTCCCCCCTGCCCCAGCACTGCCTCCACCGAAGCGAATCGCCATGATTGCTGAGATTCTCCATTCTCCCCAGCTTGGGACAGACCTCCTCCCCCCCCTGCTATCCCACTGTCATTCAATTCCCACCTAAAGTATGCCGCTGGCAACCTCTACCCTAATCTATGATGCTACAATGTACTACCCCAGCCCCAGAATAGGGCAATCNGTCCCAGCGCTGCCTCCACCGAAGAGAATCGCCATGCTTGCAGAGATTCTCCATTGGCCCCAGCTTGGGACAAACCTCCTCCCCCTCCTGTTCCTACAATGTCATTCAATTCCCACCTAAAGTATGCCGCTGGCAACCTCTACCCTAATCTATGATGCTACAATGTACTACCCCAGCCCCAGAATAGGGCAATCCCCATATTCTGCCCCCAACCCCTTCAGAGCATTCACCACCCACCTTGTGAAGCCCCTGCTGAGTAGAACTCTCCCGCTCAACACCCAACCTCCATCGTCCGAAAGTAAATCGTCAGAGCACGCCGGAGGAGAAAACAAAATTTAGGACGACATTTAGACCTCCATTTTTTGATGAAATAAGAAGTGAGATTAGATTTGAATGCAATGAGAATTCCAAGAGAGCATCAAAACGCCTGTAACCATATTGAGGGAATCAAAGATTAGTTAAGACTTAATTAAGAATTAATTAATTAATTAGAAATTTTAGGTATTAAGGAATACCATTCAGGTGAATTTACCGTGAAATCCTGGATTCTAAGATACAGATAATCAGGAATATATTTGAATGTATACTCGAATGTTACTATGTTAGTAGGGAAATTAATTAGAGATCATAATAGCGATGTTAGTTTGTGTATTAATTGACTATGATGACTAGATTTTCTAGCATGTTAATATCAGAAATGAGATGGACACTTCGACGAAGTGTCGAGTGGAAAGGTAAAAGATGAGTAACAACTCTAGTATTTTAGTAACAGAGATTGAAGATTAGGTATTTCTAATGCTTGAACTTAAAATACATGCAAGAATGTCGTGAGAAACCCTCCCCCCCCCTTCCTCCTGTCCCTCTTTCTCCTTGCCCTTCTGATCTCCAGCCCTCTTGCCTACACCCTCCCCCTAAGCCCCCTTATCTCCCTTCCCACCTCTTCCTTCTATTTACCCCACCCTTGCCCCCACTCCTCCCTCCTCGACTCTCTTCGTAGTTGTCCCGCTATCATCATCTTCCTTTCCGAAAGAGGCATAACTCCCAATAAGAAAGCGGGGAGGAAGAACAGAATGAAGAAAGAGGCAGAGAACTGAGAGAGAGGGATGGGAACGAAGATTAAGGAGTAGAAGATGATCAGCGAAAAGAATGAAGAAGGAAAGGCAAGTGAAAAGTAATGGAGACGAGTGATGGAGAGAGTGATGATGATGATGAAGGTGATGATGATGATTACCCTGTGACAATGCTGTGGCGACACTGTATTGGATGATGCCAATCATGACGATGACAATGATGATGCTGATGAAGATTGTCGTCAAGAGGTGCCGTACTATGACGTGATGTGGTCAATGAAGATTGCCGTGGTAGACGCATTACGCTCCAACTCCCCGCAAGTTGCTCCCCTGCTCCCACAGGGCAGCATCTCATGGAGTCTCTATGTCCTCCCCCTCTCTCTGCATATCATCCTGTGATACTGCTGAATCGAGGCACGAAGCCAGAACTACGCCTCGACCTTCGTCACAATTCTCTCCGTCCACCTCTCACAACTATTGCTTCGTTCGGTCGTCTGCTGACCTGACATCACAAGCACGCAGCCACTCCCTCACTCCACGTCACACTCCCTTATAGCCCAACATCAGCAAATTACCCGTCGCACATGCTCACACGTTCGCCATGGCCAGCGCTCACACCAGCTCCTGCGCGCTCTCGTGCCAGCTTCAGCGCTCTTGCGCCAACGCCAGCGCACACACCCCAGCTCCAGCGCTCGCACACCAGGCACGGCGCCCACACGCACTCACCAATGCTCGCTCGCCAACTGAAGTGCGCTCGCGCCAGCCCCAGCACTCCGCATCGCACCAGTCGCCCGCCATAGCCAACGCTAACATCGCGCCAGGTTCTCCGGTATTGGCCAGCTGAGGCTCTTCGGCCTCTAAGGTACTAACATTGTGTCTTCTTCTGCCTACCTACCTGCTACTTGAGTGTTTTCCATCCTACGCCGGCCTAGCCTCCTTCTAAGTTCCTTGCATCCCCGCAAAAGCATGGCCACAGGTAAGTACCAGGCCCGAGGGCCTTTCCAGCATACAAGTACCTTGGCGGGTGACACACACCCAAGCTATCATGCAATCAGCCAAACACACGGAAACTCAGCACGCATGCAACCACACATACTTAGAATTATCAACAGAAAACAGCAGAGTTCTCATTCTGTGATTTTGCAGGTCATTACATCACCCCGCCCCCTCAAGAGCGAGGTCCCTTGGAGTGAGTAGACTCAATCTGAGTCTCTGCGAAATGCATCGTAGAGTGCTACTGACTGTTCATAAGCAGTAAGACGTTTGTATGTGTTAATTACTTTGGGTGCAGTCTTAAGTAGGACTTTCCGAGATATCCAATAGAGTCCATGTAACGGATGATACAGAAAATGGACCTGATGTTCCATGTCCTTCACTTTGGCCTTGTGTGCAGAAGTCCTGTCAATTTCGACACCGCCCATTAATAGCACAAGGGTCATAGGATCTCGATCAGGGAAGGAAGTAGCAGCAGTGTACGGGTGGAGTTTATAAGCATGAAAGATTGGATCCGTGCTCTGCCAACCTTCGGGGCAATAAGGACATCACAAGAATTCACATTGCACGGGTTCCCGAGGAGGCCATCCCGGTGTGCTCATTATTTGCGGACGATCTCACCATCATGGTGGATGCAACACACGAAAATATGGAAGAGATTAAATGCTTAATGGATTAATATGCCTCAGTGTCTGACATGTTGGTGAACTGGGGAAGCAAAACACAAGCATGGTGGATCCACCATCAGGGGGGGCGCCCACCAGACTCCCCCAACATATGTTGGCCTCCCCAGGAGGCTCCTGTTCGCGTCCTGGGGGTTTCCATGACGGCCTAGGGACGTCTACCCTCCAATGGTAGTTGGATTAGCGCCCCGGCCTTGGCCAAACTGACTAACTGGCGCAATAAACACACATCCATCCTTGGTAGGGCACTGCCACTCAACAATGCGGTATTTGCCACCCTATGGTATAAATCAATACTCTGGCCATTGAGAAGGACGACCTTCCAATTCTTCAAATCTAAAGCGGCGGCCTTCTTATGGCGGGGTGATGACGAGCGCACAAATGTGATTTAGCCGAGTGGCGTGGGAGTCGGTCATTCAACCAAAGCGAGCAGGGGGCTTAGGCATTATTGATCCTCCGACACAGGTCCAGGCTCTTCACTTGAAGTGGCTGAAAAAGCTGGTCCTCTCCACCAAGAGGCCTTGGAGGGCCCTGACTCTTGAACACATAGCCCGCCTGACCCCGTCTGCTCCATCGGAAGTTCATCCGCTCACGTAGTTGGAAGGCCGCTACTTGTTGATCCCACGCAGAATCCAAGGCCAGCCGACGGAAATGTTCTGGCCCACAATCCTAAAGAGTTGGCGTAGGCTGCCCC